TTTTAAATAACATCACATTTTTCATTAAAAGCAGCTTATCCAAACACTACCATGCAAACAGACTTTGTCATAGTAATTATGCTGTATGCTGGCCTGTGTATTGTAAATGACACATTTAAGTAAGAAATTGCATTCTTGCTGTTAGCATCTTAGCTTCCCTATATTAGAGTACAAACTCACTTTTGGTATTTGTCATGCATTTTGAGCTGCTCTAGTAACGGATTTCAGCCAAATTCTTCATCACAATGTAAATCATGCTGCAGTTTTTAAAACAAAAAGCACATAAGCATGTGGCAGGGGGGTTGGAATTAGATGATCTTAAGGTCCTTTCCAAATCAAACCATTCTATGATTCCATAAGCATAGACTTCAAGGTCTACAGCCATTGAGTCCAGCATCTTGACCCTAAGTGGCCCAGAATGGAGGCTATGGGGATGGATTCAGGCGAGGGAAAGCATACACACAGCAACACTGTGCCAGCATACACTCCCAACTTTTAGTTTCCACTATAACAGGCCTCCTTGAGACATCTGTCAGGTGTATACAAGTTGTTCCAGGGTATCCTGCCTGACCTCCTCTTGCTCAAGATCAAATACATGCCAAGCCCAGGCTGTCTTTAAATATCACAAGCAGCACTAGAAATGTACTTCAGGAAACTGAACCAAGCCCCTAAACTTAGGTGTCTGATTTCATGGCGAGTCATCTGCTCTTGGTGCTTTGATCATCTCTTCTACAAAACTTCACAATCCACTTCAGCATCAACTATCCTCAGTAACTCTGCACCATTACCTAGTTTGGTACTCAGTCACTGACAGAGAAGTTCTGATTTGTGCCGGTATTTTAATGTAAGAAACTTTCTCAAACTTAACAGATCATAGGCTGTAGCCAAAAAGTTTAAAAGCTTTTACTTTTCAGTGGTTACAGTGTTACCATATTCTTGCTGCTGTAGTAATGATATGTATATAAAGAATGCTTAATAACTAACTATCCTAAGTAGTAAGGGGCTGAGGTACAGAAGCTATCCTCCAAAGCTTTACAACTAATCACAAGGGCCTGGAAATTGCTCCAGGAAGTGTTAGCATGTCTCAGCTCTTTTACAAATTCTGTTAAAAGTATTTAACGTAACACCTGAGAAAAACAGATATCTCAAAGTACAGCTTCCTCCTTTTAAGGCTTAACCCACAGACAAAAAGTTAACTGTCCTCCAAATGTAAAACATGTTTCAAGTTCAAAGGGAAAAAGAATAGGTAAAATATTTGGACAATTCAAAGATATTCTTTGTCATATATTAGGTTTGGGATTTTTGAGATTGCAAATTACTCTTTTGGAGGTAGTACAGTCCCTATAAAAGCAGATGTAATGTTTACTTCAGTTGAGTACTTCCAACATAGATTCCTTTTTCCTAGTGCTCAAATCATCAGTATTTCCAAAAGCCTGACTGCACAATCCAGCTGAGACAGTTTCCAAGATTCTCACCATCTCATAAGTATCTAGTCAGGAAAGGTAAATCAGTCCCCAACATCTGAACAGGGTTTTTCTGTAGCTGAAAAATCCATGTAACAGCCTATATATAATATTAATAACTTGTTTGTGGTCAAGATTCCTATCTTACATAAAGGTGATACAGATTTCATCTACATAATTTTGATTCCAGCTACCATGTTCCTCCATACATGTATATACAGCTACGAGTGCCATACACAGAGCTATAGTGAGCTCCAAAAAAACACCTGGGTAAATCTTCCCCACGCATTCCTGCTATTTCCACCTGTGGATATTTTGCCATGGCCACTGTCACGTACTATTCACCCATTGCCACAGATAGTACCCCTTTCTTTAAGTACATCTAATACTGAGTGAGAGCATAAAATCACAGAATAGCATCCAGAAGACAAGTACGCACCTTAACCCTTATGACACTCCTTGAACATGAGCTAAACAGAAAGACAAGTATTCAACACCCATAGTTTTTCTTTGAGTTCTTGGATATAGGTAACTTCCAATTTCCTAGTGCTAATGTGTCCCATTCACATCACTCATTATTCCAGAGCTGGTTTCACCAACCCCAAAGGGCCTCACTGGAGGTACTACAATTGAATCTTCCCATCAGTGCTGGCACTGCTGTCACATTGACTTTTTTTATGCCCAGGGAATTCTGTCAACCTCTAGATTTTGACAGCTATTTACAGTGAACCCTATGTACTTTTCCATGTTGTACTGACTGCTAAATAGAAATCTGAAGGAAATTTTAGTTGAAATGAAAAAGTGAGTAGGTATCCACAAGAAATTAAAAAATAAAGTTGTACAATTAGACAAGAAAGAGAAAGGAAGTGCTTTGATATCAGGTGTGAGATTACACCACTGACCTTCAAGCTATGTAAGTAACCCTTAGATCCATTTTAGAATAGGTTCTGCACGAAAAGCAAATAATCATAATTACCTCCTCAGGACAGAGACTTGCAGAGAGAGAATTTGCTGGCATGTTTCAACGGAATCAAGGTTCTGAGCCAGCTAGGGACAGAAATATTCTAATGAGTTGCAAAAGTAACTAAAAGCAGCAGTGGAGTTAGAATCTGTTGATTATAATGCATTTAGCAAATAATGTTTAATGAAATAACACTGACTAACAAAACACAAATCAATGCCAGGTAGAAACCACACTCTAAACCTCAATTTTTCATTCCGCTTCTACTGCAAAGTTGCATGCCTTGGTTTGGGAAAGGGTTGAAGATGACTGGGAACACCGCCTTGCATTTACTAAATTCTTGTTCACTAGAATATCCTACATCAGATACAAATCCACTCAAACTCCAATATAGGCGTATATACTTGAAGCTTACTGTACATTTAGCTGCTTGAAGAAGTCAGCTACACATGGTAGTTGCCCACAATTCCACTGAATGCAATTGATTTCTACCTCACAGGAGACTTGATCTATGCCAAAAATTTTATTTCATTAAGAAAATGATATTATGGAGCATCTGAGATCATGTAACAGACAAAAACAGAATGCCAGAGAAATTTTAACTGCCAGTACCCCACAGTGAATGCCTGATTATTTGCAGATGGGATATGGAAAAATTGTGAAATTATTGGAATTTTTGGGTCCTGTACGAAAGCATTACTTCAGACTGCATGTGTCATAGCAAATGTCTATTATAATTTGAATACATTCTTAGGGTTTGCTTTCAGTGCTCAGAACTGGCTATGCTTACTTCTTTAGACTTATTAGCTGAAAGACTGCATTCTTCAAAGCGCAAAACAGAACCCTTAGGTGACAGCATAAAACAGCACCAGTAAGTCAACTGTCAATACTGATGGTATTTACCCAATAACTAAACTAAAACCTAATTTAAATCAATCTCTTTTGGAAAAGCCAACTGTTCAACAAGCGCAACAATCGGTCTAAGATCAATCAGCGAACATGAGATCAATTAAAACCAGCTTAAGTTTTTGTAGGAGGACAATTCACACAACTCGAGTTGGATGTCTATTCATTTCAGTACTCCCACAATGCAATCCTTAAGCTCTGTTGTAAAGCAGAAATACCACTATCACCCTCCACAGTCTAGCCAGCACTCTAAGTAGTTCCACATTTAATTAAAGAAACAGTACACCCTTTGTTAGCACAGATAGTCTGGTCACTTTAAAGGACTGCTAGAGTTCTAGCCACACACAAAAAAATTAAATTCCGGAAACCATCTGTTGAAAAAACACCAAAATTAAACTGCTTCACAATTTTATTTGTATGTACTCTGAAGGGTGACATCTGTATAAAAGTGCAGACTACTGCCCTTTCACACTTTCAGTGCTATATGTACTGGCTTAACACAGGAGATATTAGCTCCTTCCCCTTCCAAATAACTTCACCAAAAGTCCAGTTCTTTCAGAAATATGAATGTCTCGGCAGCTGAGACACCTGATAACCTCAGCTAACTTTAGAAATGGGAAGACATGGCTGAGAAAATAATAGGAAAGGGGTCAGCGAAATATTTGTATTATTAAAATATTTATACTGAACGTGTAAGCCCAAAAACAGGAAGGGAAAAAAAATTAAGAGAAAATTTAAAAAAAGGAAAGAAGCAGAAAAGCCCATCAGACGGCCCTGACAGCTGGGAGAGCTGCAGTAACCTTTCCGTCCACATGGGTGCTGTACTGGCACATCTCACCGCTCCGACTCCTGAACTCCAGTAATCCCGACACCAGCACTTAAGGAAAAACAGATTAAACTCTAACGCACCGTTTCTCTTTTTAACTCAGAGGGATCTGCCTGCTTTAGCCAAAATTGGCGGCACAGGCACCCCTTACTGCTGGGAGAGGCGCGGTTCGCTCCGCCTTAAAGGCAATCCCGAGCTGAGCCGCCGAGAACTGCGGGAGCGGCGGGGACGGGACCGGGACCGGGACCGGGCGGACAGGGGAGAGCCCGCCTTCCTGCCTCGGAACACGGTCACCCCAAGGATGCTGCACGGGATGCTCTTCAAAGTTCGCCGCATGGGGACACAAGCCTGAGCGGCGCGGGCAAACAGCGAACCTCGGGCCGCCGTGAGCTACGACGGCGGGACCGGCCGCTTCCACGGCTCACGGCAGCAGAGGGGCCGGCAGCTCCATTCCCGCGGCGGGCAGCTCCCGGAGAGGCCCCGGCTCGGCCGGCCCCGCGGGGAGAAGGACGACACGTCCTAAGGAGCTGGAATGGCGGGGAACTGCACTCACCGCTCGACGGCCCCGGCAGCGCGTCGCGGAGCAGACTTCCCATCGAGAAAGGGGCCACGCCGCTCTGCCCGCTCCGGCCTCCCAGCGGGAGAGCGGGAAGCAGCCCCGCGGAAGGGTCCCCACGCCCGTACAGCCCCGCGCCCCCTCTCGCCGTGCCTGCGCGGAGCGGACACAGCTCACCTGCCGGTGCTGCCCCGGCGCGGAAGGAGGGGACGGGCACACGCAGTCCTGGTGCCCCGCTGGCACCACTGACCCGGGGGGGCGACCCGGGAGAGCGGCGGCGCTACTCACCTCTCTTGCTGCGTCTCCAGCGGCCGGCTTGGCAGTGGCCGTAATCCATACAGTTCAGTATGATCAGGGCAAAGGAGAAGAGGCGAAACTGCATCCTGGGCGGAGGGGTGGGCAGCCTGCTCCGGCGGCAGCGAGGGGCGGCTGGGGGCGACTGCGTACGGAACTACGAGCGGCTGCCAGCCGCGGGGACCGGCAGGAGCTCACACGGCTCTCGCCGTACTTCTCAGGCGCTGCAAACTCGCTGCAGCTTCCAGCATCTCCCGTGCGCCGCAGGGAGGGAGAAGGGGAAAGAGCCTGGCTCCGGCTCTCCCGGTCCGCCCCCTGCTCCGGCTCTCCCCGAGAAACAAAACGAGAAGCAGCACTGCCGCGGGGCGCGCACAGACCGCGGGGCGCAGCTATCCCCAGCTCGGCGGCCAGCGGTGCCGCTCGGCCCGGGCTGTCAGCCGCGGCACAGCGCTATTTATCGCGGCGCAGGGCGCACCCCGCCCACACGCGCTCAGGTCGCGGGCACGGCGGGGCGCAGCCGCTCCCCCCCACCCGACCTTCGGCGTCACGGCCCCGCCGCCGGGCCCGGACACCGGCTCCGCGCCACGGGGCAGCCCCCTGCGGGCTCGGCGGGGCGGGCGGCGGCCGCATGCAGGCGGTGTCCGCGCCGGTTCCTCCCCCCCGGGCTCCAGCTCCTCCGGGGCCGCGGTCCATTGGTAGCGCTGCCGCCGCCGGGGGACCACCCTCCCTGCCCGGCCCTAGCGCCGCCCGCCGCCGCCGCGCCCGCGACCCTGCCTCCGCCGGGCCCTAACGCCCGCCCGCCCCGAGCCCCCCCCCCCCCGGCAGCTGCTGAGGCTTTTACCTCCTTCGGCGCGCTTCTCCCGCTCCAGCAAAGCCTCCTCGCCGCTTCCCTGCACTGCTCATAGCCTCGGGAAAGCTGATCCTCAGCGCTGCTCTCCCACTTTTTTATTCCTTTTTTGTTATTTTATTTTTCTTCCCGCAGTGTTTGGTAATTAACTCTGTTTCCTTCTTTCATCCCTGGCTTTAAGACCTTTATCCATTTATTTTCCCCTCCTTTTCTTCTGGCTTCTTAAAATCTGAGCTCATACTTTCCAAATAAAGTGCCATTTTCATTGTCCTGGGAACATGGCTCTTGTCTTCCTGAAGTACAACTTTTTTTTATTTTTAGCTGTTTCTAGCCACATCTCTACTTGGCAAAGGTACTGTGGAGCTGGTAAAGCAGGAGCTCCAATAATGCACATGAGAGAGGATGGAGCGAGTGACCATCCAAGTGGTTCCAGGTGAACTTAGCTCTGATGAAGGAGGGCCTGTTAATTCTCATAGCATCTATTACACTGACCCCACAGAGCTATCTGATTTCTCTGCTCCTCACTCATAGCCTGTACCCCAGCACTGCAGGTATCAACAAACCATGGCTTCTTGTTTGTGGTGCTGGACATAATGAGCCCCAGAAGACCTAGGACACCACAGAGAAGGTGTGGAAGCTGGGGAGGCAGCTTGGGTCTGACAGAGCTGCCAGGTCTCATAAACCCAGCTGGATCCAGACTGGCTCTGAGCTTGGTGTTTCTGCTCCTTTACACCCACCGACAATTCTGATTGTGGGCATGTGGTGCCGAAGTACCTGAGCTGCCTCAGGATAGAGCCAGGTAGGTTCTCACCAGAGCAGATGTACGCTTTCCAGACCAGAGCTGACTCTAGAAGGAGCGTAACTGTGTTCACATGGCACTGTGCCTGAGCTAATAAATCATGTTAGACCCCAGCTGGCTTTGCGTCCGTGGCCCAGACAATTTGACCACAGATAAATGGTGTTTACCATCCCATCCTGAGACCCCAGAAATTTTGACTGTATTTATTAGTATAATATCCCTCTGAAGCACAGAAGCATCAGTACCCTCAGTTTCCAGACAGAAGACTGAGTTACAAAGAAGCTAAATAACTCCCTTGAAATCAAAAAGGATGTATGAGACAGCATCAAAACTCAGTCCTGAGTTTCCCAACTTCTCAGACACTACTATAAATAACCCCTTGGCTGCCCTGTTTTACACTTACTTACTGTACAATAGTAGTGATGTACAGGTTTAATCGCTAGTATGAAATGTAAACGTTTTGTAAAGTCACATTACAGCATCTTCTGATGTCAAGTCTTTATTTATTGTAACTGTCATTACGGGGTTACAGTGTACGAGATCCCACTGAGCTACACAGAGCACCTGTACCTCTCAGTGTTGTCATAACCTAAGAATTTTAGAGATGTGACCTGTCAAATAATTAACACAGACCTAAGAACTAGGTCAGCCAAGGTCAGCCTAGCTCAGTGTCAGTGGTCTCTGACTGGATTTGGAGTGGATGCTATGGGAAAGAGTGCAAAAACAAAGGCATGTCTAAATGTGGTTTGTGGTCTTTACTTCCCCTATCTACTTACACAGTGAAACTTTACAATATATCTTGTTGCAACAGAGGCCATAATTTACTTTAGTGCATGAAGTTTACTGGCAACCAGAGTTCTCCAAGATGTGTAGTCCCCATATCCACTCTAACTTCACGTGACAGGTTGTGTGCCACAGGTACCTGCGACTGACACTTTTTGCACTGGCACTGTCTTTACAGCACATGGTTACACTTTTCTGATGCAGAAATAAAAAGCATACGACCACCCTAGAGATCCCCCCAAGCTGTAGTGCAAGGGAGAGAGACATCAGACTACAAGAAGAAGGGGAAATCAGAGGGATTAACCACAGCTTTGTAAGTGCTCCAGGAAGTTGTCTCCTTTACTGTTTTCAGGTCTACAAACCCATATTTACAGGGCTTTGTCTACAACAGTTACCTGGAGATGTGTCTTAGAGTCCTTTGTTTAAACAGTGATAACAAGACCTCACCATGAACACAACTCCATTTCTGGATGTGTCTGAAATGCATAAAAATATAAATGGACTTTCAGAAAGGTGCCCTGCTGACGCTGACGTTAAGTCCCTCAACATGTAGTACTGGGTTTCAGGGGAAACAGGTCTCAGACATTGCCCCATTTCTTAAGGAGGAAGCCTGTCACCCTTCTCCCCCCCTGGGCTCCAAGACGTGGAAAAGTAAATATGAGGAAGGTATCTCCAAGTGAAAGTCTTAGATTCTAAGAGCAGGAGTAAGCCTCAGCACTGAGATTTTCCTATGTGTAATGGGGTAGGGAGTAGCCCAGGCAGAAGCCAGCTCTGCGGAGGAAGCCTGCAGTCAGAGCCTCAGGAGCTGCTGGGATTTCAGCATCCAGGCTAGATCACCCACAGGCAGCCCCTGTTATACCTGGCACGGCTAGCCATGGGCTAGCATCCTATCACGCCGTGTAAGTACAGGACATAGCTACTTCCTTGTGACTGTTTCATGTGATTTACATCAAGGGACAGCAGGCAGGGAACATCTGCAGACAGTGAGACACTGTCGGTCTGTAACAGGCAGGCATCTGAGCTGGAGTGGCATTTTCAGTACTTTGGGAGGAAACACAGCTATGACAACTTTAAAGGAATATAATTATTTATTTATTTTAAAATTATTTATCAAGAGATCTTTCTAGGTGTGTTGGACTGTTAAGGAGACAGTATGAAAGCACTTGTATGAAAGATCCAGAGTTTGAGTGGTGGACACCTGCATCCTGGATCAAATGGTGATTGGAGGTGAACTCTCAATACTGCATGAGGTATGATAGGCAAGAACTGCTTTCAAAGAGAAGACAAGCAGCTTATGCTTCATATTATGAGGAAGAATCAGTGGAAGTACGCAAGAAAATTTATTACAATCAAAGTTAATGGCTAAGAACACAAAGCTAGACAGACAGCAAGCTAAACTGGATTTAAATTCACAGAATGTCGCAAAAAGCAAGATATTTGGCAGTAAGAATATGGATCACAGTTTTGACAGTACAGTGGATGGAAAATTCATGTTTTAAAATAGGTTGCATGGAAAGAATCTTCTTTCTAGATACAGATCAAATATAGTTTGGTTCTTAAATCTGCAGGTAGGTCTCAGATGATTAGTCACCATTACAGAAATAATATCTGAACTTGTGTTTTCAGAGAAGTCTACCCAGAGGTAGAGGGTAGAAGGAGGAGATAAACAGGACATTGAAGTACCAGTCAGCCCCTGTCAGGCAGCTGGAAAGTGGGTGAGGATCACCAGAGCATCCCTTTTGGGTTATCTTCTGAAGGAATATTAAGAGGAAGCAAACACTGAAGAGAACAAGAACTAATGTAGAAAAAGAATTCGAGCACATAGGTAGCTGTTCAGGATGGTCAGTAAATCAAGAAGAATGAAAGTAATTTTGAGATATAATTAAGAAACAGTGTTTAAAAATCCTGGGAAGAATGGTGCCAGTGGCTCAGAAGCCAAATTAAAGTCTGTGGAGCCCAGAATATGTTTACAGTCACAAGGAAAGGACTGAGTGGGCTTGAGCAGACAAGGAAAAAGCACTGGGATGGGTTCCATAGGATGTGGTAGGCCTTTGTGCCTGTAGTCCCCCTGAAATCAACAGAGAGGAGTTCACTGTAGGCATGGCACAGCATGTGTACCGTCATGCAACACTGGGGCACTAATGAACCCTGCGTGCATTCTAGGGGGGAATTTGTCAAAGTGAGGAACTGGGAAAACTACCTGAGCAATAGTGTGTTCACTGAACATGATCATAGAAAAAAGCATTAGTCAAGGCCCAAGAAGATGGTGTGGCAATGACTGAAATACCAGATGATGAGAGTCTGGGCAACAGCTTTAGCTGTGGGGATAGCTCAGTAGAGGTGTATTTTATGTAGTTTATTCAAAAGTCTCAGCAACCAAATTAATGTACTTGAGCAGTGCTGAGACGATTCGTTACAGTGTTCAAAAATCATAATATTTTATAGGACTAGAGTTCTGTTCATTGAAAATTCAGTTTTATGTGTTGTGCTCCACAGATGTTTCACTGACTGTAAAAGACCTTACCTTCTACACTTCGGCTGTATTAAAGCCAAAGTACTGCTGCTTCTGCAATATAAAGTAATTGAACCTTTCCATTCTTTATTGGGCTCCATATGATGTGATCTGTAAGTATCCTAACTTCATCACATAGCAGAGAAAGATCTTAAAATGAACAATACCAAAGTTTATTTTAAAAGAGATTTCTCCTTATTTCTGTAGCTGGGCAACTCATCTCCTTTGAACTGAAGTCATGACCTTTCCTAAGGCCAGTTTCAGCAATAATATGTAAGTCTTTACACTGCAGTAGAAGAGATGTATCTTTATTTTCAGTGGAAGAAATGAGTGATCCTGGCAAGTTTTACATCTAAACTTGAAATAAATTTATACACAATCCAGCTTCCAACTCTTTATTTCCAAGATAATCTTTACCTCCTTTAAATTGTTTAAATGCATGTTATTCATTAATTCTTTCAAAAGTGATCTAAAATAATAAATAACAATAATGGAACATTGTGCCCAGTTTTGGGTCTCCCAAAACTGGAGCAAGACCAATGAACAGCCACCATGTTTGGTGGCTGGAGTACTAACCATGTGAGGG